ATAGCATGTCGTCCAAAACCATGAAAAAAAGTCATAGTATAGCATGTCGTTAAAAACCATGAAAAAAAGTCATAGTATAGTATGTCGTCAAAAACCATGAAAAAACGTCATAGTATAGCATGTCGTTAAAAACCATGAAAAAAAGTCATAGTATAGCATGTTGTTAAAAACCATGAAAAAACGTCATAGTAGTATGTCGTCAAAAATCATGAAAAAAACGTCAGTATAGCATGTCGTCCAAAACCATGAAAAAAAGTCATAGTATAGCATGTCGTTAAAAACCATGAAAAAAAGTCATAGTATAGCATGTCGTTTAAAAAGGTTATAGTGAAGTATGTCATGAAAAGGTCACAGTATAACACTCAGCTGTAACAGCAGAAGGTCACCTACCAGTGATGGAGGTGTCTCAGTCCTCATACAGTTCTCACATTGTGCCTTCAGCAGTCGTTCCTTTAACGCTCCACTTGGATTGTGACGCTGGAGAACCCAACCTCAGAGCGCAGGAGCTTTGAGGCCTTCATGAGGACGATCTGTGCATCAGCATCTTCCTCTGAGGACACAAACACAACATCTTAAAGTTCTGGTTTACAGTCATCTTAAACATGTGTCATAACTTTACAGCACAGTCTTGGTCTGTCCTGATATTCAATCAACAGAGACGCATCACCAGAGATATCAGAGTCATCTAATCTAAATTCCTCTTGTAGCAAATACAGATTCTTTCCCCTCATCTCTGTCATTATGTGTTGTGATATTAGTCTACACAGGGTTTTAAACTTGACTATGTAACGTGCTGCTGTGCACCACCTCCCCTGCAGCCAGCCTGTGTGTTAGCAGTACTGATCTTACCTGTGACCACGTGGACAGAAAGCAAAGAGCGAGTCATGTTGAGGCTCCACACGTGCAGACTGTGAACGTCCACGACTCCTCTGACAGACAGCAGCAGCTCTCTCACAGCGCTGGAGTTAACGTGCTGAGGAGCTCCTGCAGACACACAGACGACACTCGGTAACACACAAACTACAGTCCTTACAATCATAATGTCCCCACAGGCAGAGTTTGTTTACCGTCCATCAGGATTCTGAAGACGTCCTTTGTGACTGGAAGAGTAGTGGCAACAACAAGAACCGAGAACAGGAACGTGCAGATGGGATCTGCTACCTTATACTGAGGCTGTGAGGAGACAGATTTGATTAAAACAAATAATAAAAACACAGAACAAATCTTGGAGGACTCAAGACGATCTTTAAAAACAGTTCACTAAAGCTGCATTCACACCAAATCTGGCGTGGCAGAAGTTAACCAGAGTTGTGCAGCGGTTTGGGAGTCTCACTTAAAGGAATATTAAACCCACAAAATGACCATTTGTAAATTAGTCAGTCATAACTCCTGTGTACCCTTCTCCAGCAAAGACAAGAGCATCTGTGTCATCCTTTATAACTCTTTAATTCAAACCCCACATAAAAATATTACCCAGACTGCTTTCTTCCAGCCTCCACTTAAGTGTTTTTCTCACACGTCTCCATGGAAAACAGCAAATATATTGACTTACTGATTTAGTGGGGCCTCGTTTCACAACAGCAAAACTATATCAGAACAGTTTAACTGTTTATATCTTAAGTTCTGGTGTTAAACACAGCAGCATAAAGCACACTTCATTTCTACTTTTTAAATGCTTTATATTTACACACTTTTCTCTCATAGTCTTATTCTCATGTCTTATAATTCTCTATTCTTTACATTGGCACGACTGTAACAAATCATAATTCCCCCTCAGGGATCAATAAAGTATTTCTGATTCTGATTGAATGAGTACCGATCATGAGACTGGATTAATGAGACTAACTGCACAAACTGTGAGACAGTTGGTCAACAGGGGCCAGCAGTTGCACAAAACATTTTCATTTTCAAGTCCTCTTCTTAAGGTTTCCTGAAAATATTTATTAAAAGGATTTAAGTTTTTCTCCACATCTTGGTCTTACACTTAAAGAATTACTTAAAGTCTGTTAAACTGCTGCACAAAGAACCTTAGGAACCAAAGTAAGGACAAAAACAAATCACCTCTGACTCCATCTTAACTACAACATGGTTAACTTTATGGGGATAAATGAGAAAAATCAAGGCACCTCGAAAAGAGTGTTCCACGACCGTGAGAACCTGATGGACACGCTTTGAGATGAGCAACTGATTTTGCACTTTAAATTTTACCAGAAGTCATTTTATGATTGTGACCGCCTGGGGTTGGATGACTCAACTTTCCAAAGCTGTGCTCCTCCAGTACCTTTAATTCATGAGTGCTCTGTTTCCCGTCAGTTACTGGTGAGGTATTTCATGTAAGACTTAAGTGTCATACTTAAGGAGCAAATTTAAGGTGCACTGTGCAACTAGCCCCAGATCTTTTGATGTCGTTTTGCAGTTGTTAAATGGGGTTTCCAAGTGAATAAATCAATGTGTTTGCCGCTTTCTGCGAGGCATGCGAGAACAAAGCTTTCTTCACAAATTCAAAGTACCACAGAATAAAAAAATGATACACAAGTGGTCATTTTGTGGCAAATTATTCCTTTAAATCCCGTCTGTGGGGCTGCGCAGAGTGGAGAGAGAGCCAATCCTCCCATCTCACCAACTCAGTATTTTGACTTCTGCAACTCTGTTTAGCATGACTGTGCCACAAAACACACAAAGTGAGTTTTCTCCTTCTACACGCAAGCTGTTAAAACATATTTTCTTTTACTCACCGTAATATTTAATGATAGAAAGAGACTGTATTGCTTGTTCCTGTGGAGTATGGACGTCTCTCTGGTCTGATCACTAATTACCATGATTGGGTGCAGCTGTGTGTGTGCCCCCTCCACACTCCCACACCTGTTTGTGTGTGGTCTAATGAGTATTTACAGAGGTGCAGTGGTCACTTTGGTGATCTCTAAACTTTTCCTCCAGCGCCATCATCTGGTCGAAATGTGTCCAATACTTTAGTTCATGACAAAATACCTGCAAAGCTAATGGTGTTCCCATCATCCTCAGCTGTACTTTGTGTTCAGTGCTAATTATCAGAACATTATATTATCTTAGATGTTGCTCCCTGTAGTGTTTCACCTGGCACTGACCCAGAAGTGGATGACAGTAGCAGCCAGCAGGACTCCCACACTTTGCACCAGATCTCCCACCACATGTATGAAAGCTGCCTTCACACTGGCGTTGCCGTGGCTGTGATGGTGGCTGCTCCCCTGATGCCGTTTGTCCGTCTGCAGCCGGCTGGCATTAAACGTGTGGCCGTGGCCGTGTGATGCTCCGGACTGATGGAGGATCAGGACCATCCTGAATAAAAGTACAAACTGTTTTTAAAGTGCGTCTGATCCCTGCTGACCCTCCTGTACCTGACACAAGAACAATGATGGTGAGCTCATTGTACTCACAGGACGTTGACCGCCACAGCACAGCCTGAGGTTATGAGCATGATCTGACTGTCGATGTCGTAGTCTCCGTCGGTGATCCTCTGGATGGCTGATATGACGAGCACCGCTGTCACGGCCCAGACTGACACTACTGACAGCAACATGCCCAGAATCTCTGTTTGACACAACGACTGAGTCAGACAGGACACACAACGTTTATAAACTATATCAGCTTATAGTACAGATACTGTATATTCTGAACTATTATTTGGTGTCACCTGCTCGATGCCACCCAAAGGTCATGGTGTGTGTTTGAGGCCTGGCTGAGATCCACAGAGAGAAGATGCTGATGACGATGCTGCCAAAGTCAGTGAGGAGATGAGCTGCATCCGTCATGATGGCCAGACTGTGAGCAGCGTATCCACCTGCAGAGAAGAAGAAGAAGGTGTATGTGTGAATCAGGGGAGTGTTGAACACCAGGCTATGACATCCACTGTTTGTTTAGATATTAAAGGTTTTAGATCTTTTACAGTGTAAAAATACACTTGTCCGTTTTCTCTGGTGGACAAACTATGTAATAAAGACACTGTGTGCAATTTACAAAAACTTATTTTGGCATTTCTGTATTAACATCAGTAATATCTTACCAGCTGACATATAAACCAGTACAAACTCATACAGGCTGATCTATAGTCTCACCCTAATCCTGTTCCGCCAGACCTGTCTCACGCTGTGCCAGCACTGTAGGAAGGTCTGTCTGAACCCATCATTATTCCACACTAAGGGGAAAAATGCTCTTGGTTGTTTGTATTTCCTTAAACCAATCACATCCGTCTTGGGTGGTGCTAAGCCCAGGATGCAGTGTCAGTGCCCTTACAAAACAGTTTAAAAGGGGAACTTGTTTTGGTGGAACATTTGCATGTAAGAAGTCAATACCTGCAAAAGTAAACACAACATATAACCAGAGGTGGGTAGTGTAGCCAAATACTGTACTCAAGTAAGAGTACTGATACTTTAGAACAATATTACTCAAGTAAAAGTAAAAAGTAGTCATCCAAATAATTACTTGAATAAGAGTAAAAGAGTATTTGGTGAAAAAACTACTCAAGTACTGAGTAACTGTTGAGTAACGTCTGATTTATTTGTAAAATAAGAACATGAACGTAATCAATCAATCAAAAATAATAATCTGCAAATTCATGTATTTTAAACGATATCCCTTTAACTAAAACAAAAATAAATTAAATCTTTACAAACATAACATAAATCAAGGCACAAGAAACACAAATATATTCTTATATATACTGCACATATATATATATGTAATTATGTACTCAGAGGTGGGTACAGTAGCCAAATATTGTACTCAAGTAAGAGTATTGTTGCTTTAAAACAATATAACTCAAGTAAAAGTAAAAAGTATTTTGCATTAAAACTACTCTGAAAAGTACAATTTATCCAAAAAGTTACTCAAGTAAATGTAACTGAGTAAATGTAATTAGTTACTACCCACCTCTGCATATAACTTAAAAAGACATTTTGTCATGTAGGTTGCCAGATCAGAGGCTGTTGTTTTATGCATAGCACTCAAATGAAGTGTGTTGATGTGTATCGATTTTACCAATTTTATCATGTGGTTTTCTCTTTACATGCTAAATCACAAGAAACTAAAGCTCTCATATAACGGTAGCTGAGTAGAACGTTTAATATAAAAAGTAGATGTCATCTAGATGTATTAAAGCTTTAGATGGTAAATTATAAAAATAACTTTTTGTCATATTTTTTGAAACTGTCACTACATTCACACAGTAGTACATCAGACAGATAATCTGTTAAAAAAAAAAAACATTATTTTTTTCTGCCTCCTCCTCCTTGTAGAGCTTCTAATGGCATTTGCAGGAATCCACCATATGTAAATGAAATCAAACAATTAGAGCCGAGGCGTCACTAACGCAGCTATCAATCATGTCAGTCACTGCTCATGAACTGTTTTCAAACTGTTAAACGAGGCAGCGCTGATCAAATATGAATTGATATTGTTACTGCTTTATATATTTCTCGCTTCAAAAACACATTTTAAAGATATTTTTGGGCATTTTTTGCCTTTAATTGACAGGATAGGTAGGCGTGAAGGGGAAGAGAGAAAGGGAAAGACATGCAGCAAAGGGCCACAGGCTGGAGTCGAACCTGGGCCGCTGCTGCAACAGCCTTGTACATGGGGCGCTTGCTCTATCCACTAAGCCCCCAAAAACACATTTTAGTGTACTGTTCAGCTGTAGAATGAGAGTTTCCTCCAGTCACTGGGCAGTACTTCAATCAACTGTCTTCAAAATGGCAGCCGGGTCACAAACGTTCTCATTTTACAGCTAACCAGTACACTGCAATATGTTTCTGAAAACATCTGTGGTGAGAAACAGGCAACACAGTAACAATCTTTATTCATATTTGATCAGCGCTGCCTAGTTTGACTGTAGTTCACAAGCCATGAATGACAGCTGCATTCATGACTCTGCCATTAGAGGCACAATAAGTAGGCAGTGTAACAAGATGTTTTTCACAGACCTTTTTGTCTAATGTACTTCTGTCAGGATGTAGTGAGAGTTTCAGCAAATATGACTTAAGTTATTTTCATAAAAGTCACCAGCTGTAGCTTTGACTGACAGAAAATGGTAGTTCTCAAGTACAGTATGTCAAAACTTTACTTAACCCAAGTGCCTGAGTACTTTTCCTTTGTATGACTTTGTCCTGAAGCTCATTACCAACATCAACCACCACCACTTTTCATTGTCCAGCTGCCAAAGTAATTCACACTTACAGTTTCTTTTACTGACAAAATGAAGAGTAATTCAGGATCCAACTATCTACCATCTGTTTAAAATTCATTCATAAAGTATCTGTTACACTTGTGGCAGGCTGAAGTCAGTTATGACGTTTTTTTCCATCTTACCAATCACTTCTCCGGTCACGAAGACAAGGCTGACAGCACAGGCCATTAAAAGCCTCCTTCTGGCCGAACGTCTCACGTCACTTTCAGCCACTGACATGGAGTCGGTCTGTTGGCAGAGCTGGTCGGGCTGCCACAGGCCGTCCACACTGGAGGCGTCTTCACTGGACTCTGATGCAGAGTCTGAATTTGTGTCCTCTGGGAAACTCATCCTGACAGAGGACACAACTGTGAACGTATACACTTAAGACAGTCTGAGTGATTAAATATGTACATGAGCAAATTAAAAACCATCTGTGATGATGTGGAGCTCATATAAATAAGAATAAAAACAAACCATCTAAGAGGCTCCAAATGAGTCTCAATCAGCTGTTGTTTCTCTGAATCCATTGATGACTCCATGTTTTCAGGGGCTGCCTGTAAGTTTAACATTAAAGTGAAGCTAGACACTTTGCCACCTGCTCCAACCTGTGTTATCTCACAGAGGTGGAGCACGACAGGAGCCAATGGCAGGTGACGCAGCTCAGAGGTGCCGCTCACTGAACAGCTAACGGTTAAAATCACAGGACAAACTTTAGGACAGTTTCAGTCTCACCCAAGTTTATTTAATCAGACAAACATTTCATTTTACAGAAACAAAAAAACTGGGAATGTTTAGACATAAAACAAAATATATAACATTTCTTTTTAACCTAAAAAAATCCCACTGAAAGGCACTTTTATGAAGTTTTCATCAAGTATACAAAACTGACTTTTACATACATTTCTGGGGTCGTTTAAACTTTACATAGTCGGGACTGTCTGTGAAAGTCATCCGAGAAGAACAGATAAAATGCAAAAGATGACACATTTATTTAGATTTGTACCAAATGTACAAACCCACATTCTTACACCCAGCAGAGATAAAAAATATAATACAAACATGATGAGAGATGACATAATTTAAGGCGTTATCCTAATATACACTCAATTTATCATAAAACTTCCAATCAAAAATATACCTCTGACTTTACATAAAAACATTATTCCTGTACGGAGCGTAATTTCACGGCACACACAGGCGATAAATCATCTCACACACCACAGAGAGATCATTGTCTTCGACAGAAGGCCTCAACACATCGGAGAAAATTCACGCAGAACATTTGGCAATAAATCAAATCAGTACGTCGTCTTGTCGTCGAGTCAGGTTGGTTTTAGATTGAAGTGTAGGAAAAGTGTTTTTCATGGTATATCAGATGATTTGTGGGAGCTTTATCAGTACAAGGGCTGGGTACAGTTAAAAAAAATACACTACCAGTGCCCTTAAAGTGATACCAATACCAGAGTACTTCATTGGATACCTTTATTTATCCACTCTATTTGATACCCATCATGTGAGTGGAAACATTCAGCTGCTGAAAATGCCACCAGAAGCCACAGGCATTTTGGTGTCATCTCGGCACGCCGAACTGCCACCTGACTTCACCACACCACAGACTGTATGGGTTGTAGCTGCTGCGGTTGTGGGCCAATCACATGCTGCATTAAATCAAAGAATGCTTGCGGCGAACCCTTACAAAGTCTTTTTTTTCTAGATCTGGGTACAGAAAGGATCAAATGCAGGTATCGTTTAACTGGAGAAGTTCTGATACTACTTGGTATTCGGTTATTTCAGTCGATACTTTAAAGATACAGAGCACAGGTACCCAGCCCTAATCAGTACCGTGAGTTTTTTGTCTTGAGGTAACCTTATGTGCATGTACAGTGAACTAACCAACATCTCTAAAGAACTAGCTCAAAATATTGGGAGATAAGCTTACTGGCTTTCTTTATGAGCGTTAGATGAGATGATATATACCATTCTGTCTGTGTGTTATGTGAGTATGGAGCTGGAGGCAGAGGAGAATTAGCTTACCTTAGCATAAATACTGGAAACAGGGAGGAACAGCTAGCCTGGCTTCATCAGAGGTAACAAAATCTGCCTGTAAAAACGCCTAAACAAACGACATACAACGTGTTGATTGGTAAAACTTAATCTGTGATGTGTAGCTGTGGTTTAAGGGGTTTCTTCATAGGTTATCTATCTGCCCTGTGCTTCTCTGCGGGGTGTCGTCAGGTGGGAAACCTCACAGTGCAAAAGAAAGTGAGCATTAGAGGTGCATTTATGAACGCGACTTGCTTTTCTCCCTGCTTCCAGTCTTTATGCTCAGCTACACTAATCACCTCCCTGCTCCAGCTCCATACTAATTTAACTACCAGATTCAGACTTGTTTCAGTCAAACCATGTCATAGTTACAAGACAAAAACTCTTGATTTCTATCCAATTCTGCTCTTCATAACATGGAGGTGCCTAAAAAGCAAACAAATATGAACCCCTCACATCGCCAGAGTCTTCTGTTGTTTTGTTGTTTGCAACTCACGGCACTTTTAAAGGAATACTTCACCCAAAAACTGATCATTTTTTTAATCAGTTACTCATCTTATTTTACCTTAAATTCATAAAGAACACTTTGTTTTCTCGCATGCCTCCACGGTGAATGAAGAATCCAAAAGCAAAACTGTATCAGTAAATCAGTTTACAAACTCTCACACAACTCGGGCAGTATAATCCAAGTCTCTTTTTTCCAGTCTAAGCTTGGCTGGGATCCATTTTATCATACCTTTCTGAAATTTCACAGGGGTATACCGTATATGACCATACTTATGTGCGGAGCTACTGTTTTTTCCCCTCTGCTGTCTCTCTGCCATTCCTCACAGGCTGTTTGCAGTCCTGTCACAGATGCTGCCTTTCTCAGCTCAGCTGCCTGTTTCACCCGAAGAGACTGACCTCTGGTGGTGCGTGACGTGTGCTACATTCATCATCAATACAGCATCTCCATCGCCATCCATCCATTTTCAATCGCTTATCTGAAGCTGTGTCGCAGGGGCAGCAGTCTGAGCAAAGCACCCCAGATGTCCCTCTCCCCAGCAACACGTTCCAGCTCCTCCTGGGGGACCCCAAGGTGTTCCCAGGCCAGATGAGATATGTAATCCCTCCAGCGTGTTCTGGGTCTAGCCCAGGACCTCCTACCAGTGGGACGTGTGTGGAACACCTCTAACTGGCGGCAGGCAGGGGCGGGGACCCGGGCATGCTGATCCCTGGTGTTGCAGACAGCACCTCCACATGAGTTCAATAAAAAGATGAGCGCCTGTATTTTTGACGGTAATGAAAATCAGACCGTGGGGATTTCTAATGCCATTTTTTGGATTCTTCGTTCACCTAAAAGAGTATTCCTCACAAATTCAAGCTGACACGAGGTGAGTAGCTGATATACAAATGATCACTTTGCTGGTGAAGTATTCCTTTAAAAGACTCTGCAGCCATACGACTCTCTTGAGTTGAAATGACGTGAAGTGACAAATGTCGAAATCTCATCTAACTTCCAGATGGAAAGTGAAGTAAGCATTTCTCCCAATAGTGTTGAATTATTCCTGTAATGCCTCATCAGCATTACATTATTAATTCTAACTGTGCTATTTACAGGCTGCCAGCCAAATACACAACAGTGCACACAAGTCGACATTCAGACCATTTTAAATACATCGTTTGATTTAGTCACAATATTCTGTACATCTTTTCAATAAGCCCTTTAGATTGTCTCTACTATATGTGCAGCATGACTGAACACCGCAAAAGTCTCAGAGTGGTTGTTTTCTAAAAGTCCGGAAACAGCGTATAATGTATTTAAAAAAAAAACATTAAAAACATTTCTAACCCAGCAGCCATCTTGAGCCAGAATACTCTCAGACCACCGTGGCAGCTTCAGGATTTTAAACATGATTTTGAGATATTAAAGTGCACATGAAAAAAAAAAACTCACTCCAGAGCTTTGATCTGCATGGCTTTGTCATTTCTCACTGCAGTCCAGATACTACCCAATATTAAAAAAGGTTAAAAAATAAATATGGCAATTAGATCAAAGACAAAACCACTGGCACCAAAAAATATGGCAGAATCAGGTCGCTGCTTGATGCATTTAAACAAAACCGCCTCACAGATGATGGTTTTCTGCCACATTTAACCTCAATGTTTATTCTCATCATCTCTGAAAATGATCAGTGCAGCTGCTGATGGTGACGTGGTTTTATCAGGTCTCCACTCACTTGGTTTATGAGGTGCCATTGGCGGCATGAGGCTGGACCACGATCGGTGCGTTCTCACCTGCAGGTGTGGAAAAAAGTGAATTTTTAAGTTTCTACACTTTCATTTATTTCTCAGAACAAGAAGAAAACAGAGCTGTTTGTTTCAAATGGAAGAAAATGTAAATCAAGATAACCTCAACCACATTAAAATGCCGCTTATATGTTGATGCATCAGTAATACTTATCCAATAATTTGACATTACACTGTGGCATCCTGCTGCCTTTTGATAGTGTAAGTACATCCTACTCCTAATACATCTGCAATTCTATGCAAATAAAACAACTAATGTAACACTTTAACTTTAGTATTGCTGTAGATATTGTTGTTATATTATATTATATTGTTGTATATTGTTATATTTCTAGTTAGTGTAGTTCTGATTTTTTGAAGTGGTGTTGTATGAGCTTTTTATCCATGGTCAGTAGCCCCTTTTACACTGCCTGGTTAAGGTGGGAATATTCCACCTTGACGTTCTGTATGTAAGGGTCCTTTCACATCTGCCCTGTTTGGTTTGGTTCAATCGAACTCAAGTTTCATTTGCCCCCCAAGTGCGGTTCATTTGGACAGGTGTGAACAGCAATCACACTCAGGTGTGCACCAAAACAACTGGACCGAGACCTTCTTGAAGAGGTGGTCTCAGTCTGATTACAAACAAACTCTGGTGCAGTTCATTTGTGGTGAGAACGTGTTCCGACCTGGATCTGAACCAACTGCAGTCACGACACATTGTTTGGGTTAAATATAAGCATGTTTCAGTCCTGGAGGATTATTAATGTGCACCTCCTCCTGTACTGCCTTAATATGCACATTCAGCACATCCAATGCATCAAAACATTGTTTTCTAGTTGGAGCCGCGCCTCGTTTTCAAACTGTATGGTTTGACTAAAATGAACAATGACAGCAATATAGTCCACGATGAGCAGCGCTAAAATCAACCTGCGTAGTTGTCCCTCCATTGTGACATTAGAAAGTGTCACATTTATCTTGCAAGTGTACTCTTCTTCAACGTTTGCTTTACTTCCTGGATTTTTCCCACATGGAAATTCTGACCAATCAAGAGCAGCTTTGTCACAAGGCATTTAATCTGGTCCGCTTGTAAACGCTGCCGTGAGAACACGAACCAACTCTAGGCAATTATACAACTTTGGAACAGAATAAGTCCCTGATTCAGACAAAGCAAGACAACTCTAGGTCTGAAAGCACCCTAAGGTACAATTGCAGAATGGGGGGGACAGAGTTGTCACAGCTCTGAGTCATCACGGGAGGTAGTAACAGCGGCTGCCTTGTACAAACAAGAGAACAGGAGGAGGCAGAACAGGAGTGACATTTTGATGACATGTTATGCGTGCAACCCACCTCTGGAGATTTAAAAAGTGGCTGTTAGTAGTTAGTGGCTAACTCAAAGACGAACAGCGGCCATAAATGTCTACAAATTAGGAAAATAATGAGATTTGGGAGCTCCTTACCATTTGAGCAGTGGATGAGATCGGCTGCCATATGACAGGGACAGTAAATGATTGTTAAGCCATGTTTTGCCATTGTCATTGTCATTGTTTATAAAGCACTGCAGATGTGTATGTTATATGTCGCACTAGAGGCTGACACTGTTGTGTTATGTGTCTTGCCTGTCACCGCTCTTTTGATTCCGCAATGCTGGCATGCTGTCTAAAATGTCACACTGGAGCGTAATGATACCGACATCATTTGGGTCTGTGTAAAAATGCAAAGGCAACATAAAGAAGAGACTTTGTGGCTGCCGTATAGCACGAAACTAAGCAACGTCCTACAGCCACCTAATAAAAATCAATATCCGTTTAAGTGTACGCTATATTTAGAATATTTTTTAACTGCTTTAACCTTGCTTTCAATCAAATTCTGACAGGGAACTGACGCACTTAAATCACTCAGTAACAACAGTAATTTCACCTCACAGAGCACAGGAGATGACAATCTACCGCTGCCTCAATCAAGTAATTTGTTTGTGTTACTGTTTGACTTTGGTGTTTTAAAGGTTAGTATAGATTCAGTGAAACGTTTTGCTGCTTCCCCTGTCCACAGCAGTACATAATTATTTATCTTCCGTGTCCGTACTCCTGCCTGCTTCTCCAAACTGGGGGCGTGTCGACCGACATCTATTGTAGGCAATACACCAACTATAAATAAAAACTTCATACAAGCCCACTTCAAAAGATCCAAACTATCCCTTTACGTAAATTACATGTCTTCCAGAACTGGCATCAGGTGTAGGATTTATATTGGTGAACCAACCTACAAGAGAGTGTAACTGTGTGAAGAACCATGTCATACAAGCACATATAAATATTCTCAAATGGCTTTCATTAGTTCAGAGATTATGCAGCATTAAGTGGCAGAAGAGTGGCATCAATGTTAGAACAAAACAACAGCTTAAGATGGAATAAGCAGCACAAAAAAACTTAAATCAATATTGTTGTTTATAGTAGCTTCAAGATCAGTGGTTCTCAAACTTTTTGGCTCATGAATCTTTAAACAGTTAAGGAATCATTATCAATCAGAGGCACACAACTTCTTATATTTTTGAGAAAATCTGAATAAATGGGGACGATAACATGTATAATAAGTAGAAATATGTAGATAAATCATTGTGTGTCTCCTCTGAAATGATCTTAACTCCCAGACTGAGAACCACTGCTCTTGATATTAAGCATTCACAGTTTAGTACAGTGTTTTTCCCACTGTGCTAAACATAGATAACATTATCAACAGTGATAATAATAAGCAAGCCAAGTTATTAATAAGCAACAGGCAACGCAGGTCATAAATTCCAACTTCAATACAGCAGCATCCTGCAGCATGTAAAGGACTGAATGTTAGTATGTGATTTGGCAAACACACAGACTACGCCTGGTGGTGTTAGAAGCTGCCGAGACATGAGCTCCTCCATGGTGAACTGCGCTTCGTGTTGTGCTACATTAGTCAAGCAGCACAGAGGACAGGTGAACTTTACCTGGAGAGGTATCGACTTTATCTGAAGCGTCGGGGCTCGGCTGAATAATTATTACATGGTCTCCTGCTGTGAAACAAAATTTAACACTGAGCAAACCCACGCTGACAGAATCGTAAAATACAGAGACTGAGATCTGAGCAAGAGTTAAAGGAATAGTTCAACAGTTTGGGAAATACTTTTAACCGATACAATATTACAGACTCTCACCATCCTACTTATCACCTCTAGTCACTCCTCATATACTTGCTTAGAGCTCTACGATCCCAAAATGCCGGTCTCCTGGCCAGTCCAAGAACAAATAAGACATCAGTGGGTGGTGCGGCACCCTCTTACCAAGCACTTCTTCTTTTGAATCGTCTTCCTACCGAAATTTGAGAGGCTAGTTCAGTCGACTCATTCAGAAGTAAACACATCTCTTCACATTAACCCTCAACCTTAGTCTGCCCTAAATACTAAACCACAGTTATGCAACTCATACTCATAGTCTACGTGCTCATGGATACATATATGCACTGTGTTACACATTTCTGTCTGTGTTTACAACATATGTTTATCTTACTTTTTATACGTTTTTGTGTTTTGCTAATGTTGCTCACTGATCTTTTTAGATGTGACACACCCACTACTAGTCTTATTATTCATATTTCTATAATTGTTGTTATAGTATTTATTGTTTTTATTGTTGTTGCTGTGCATCTCTCCCTCCCTCTCTTTCTCTCTGTCCCTCTATGCATCATTTTGTCATATGGATTACTGTAATTTCAATATGTTGATTTGTCCCATATACACATGACATCTATTGCATGACTGTGCGTCCTGGAAGAAGGATCCCTCCTCAGATGCTCGTCCTGAGGTTTCTATCATTTTTGCCTGTTAAAGGTTTTTTGGGGGGCGCTTTACAATATCCGCTGTGAAGGTCCAAGGACAGAGGGATGTCATATGCTGTTAAGCCCTCTGAGCCAAATTGTGATTTGCGATATTGGACTTTATATATGACATTGTAACTGAACTGAAATCATTATTTGTACAGGCATGCTTTGTGATACTGGGCTGTAATTAACTTTGACTTGACTTGACATGACATATGCTTATCCACTTTCATTCTGAGAGTTAGATGAGACGATCAACACCACTCTCATATCGGTACAGTAATTTTGAAGATGGAGCCAGTAAATCGTTAGTTTAGCATAAAGACTGGAAACAGGAACTGGTCACAAAATCCACCTACCAGCACCTCAAAACCTTATCAATTAACACGATACATCTTGTTCATTTAATCAGCACAAAACTGAACATTGTAGTCTCCTCTTTGACTTAGTCTTTGCCTGTATTTTGCTCTGTATGTTGTGCTGTACTATTGTGTTGAATTACTCCATGCTCAGTAATCTTGCACTTTCTGTTTTAATTCTAAAAGTCTAACCAGGGACAAGGGTTGTAAATTAGCCATGGCTAGAAGCCTGTATTCATTGCATCTACTTTGTATTTCACATATGAGGCAATGTCTTATGCATCTGTCCGAGACAACAATTAAATAAATAAATAAATGAAATGTAAAAATGACCATGGTCTCTTGAGGCTACATGCCGGACTGTCTCTTGGATGGGAGCAGTAACTTTCTGAAGTCTGAGCTGACTGCTTGACGACTGTTAGCTTTGAGCAGAGCCAGGCTAGCTTTATGCTAAGCTAACTGGCTGCAACTTTATATTTAGTTGGGATGCACAATAACATCATCCTATACATATATATGTCATTGTATGTATAGCCGAAACTGGCTTTAAAATGAAACATCAGAATCCACCAAATGGCTGATAATATCTGTACGTCATCAGTATCGACCACTATCAGCTTTAAAATACATTTTTATAATCAGCATGCATCAACATTCTTTTTCTTAATCTTTAATTTCTTTTTCTCCATCTGCTGGTGGGCCATTACAATAAGAGTATGCATGCATAACATGATGTTAATTCCACAACAGAAGAGACTTGATTATCACTAAAACTAGACGGGGAAATGGTGGATTTATTGATATCGGTAACAGTTATCGGTCAAATGAGTTGTTACATATCAGCAAATCAGATATCAGCACAAAATCCAATATCGTGCATCTCTAATATTCAGTGTGCAAAAGTGAGAGTGATATTGATTTCCTAATCTGAACCTAAGCAAGAGTATTTCCTAAAATGTCAAACTATTCCTTTAAACTCCATCAGGTTTAATTGTTCTGTATAAGTCTCTTTGGCCAAAACACAAAGCCTGAAAACTCAGAACATAACTTAAAATTGTCCCCAACAAAGTTACAAAGTTACTTGTCTGTTTTTATTCACTTTCCAGCAAAGTATTATTTTCATCACTTCTCACAAAAGACATTTAACTCAGTTAAACTGCACGACAAAGGAGCTTCTGTGCAAACGGCATCAGATAGTTCCTAATTTAGACACTTGATGCGTCCAATTTACAATAATGACATTTTCCTGTCATGTGTCATCTCATCTTTCCACAGAAAGCAACAGATTAAACTATATAAATGAAATGCAAACTGACTAACTGGAGCTTTTATTCCTTTCCTGTTCTTTGACAAACAAGTATTCATAATAAACACTATTAATAGAATATTTTTATGTATAATCAGGTCACTGTGATGTTGTTTTAGTCTTGAATCAGATTATTCTGGATTATGTATCAGGAGATTTTCATATATCCAATCCTACATTTCTCCAGGAGAGATTAAAAATAATAAACCAAGAGAAAGAACCTGCATTTAGTTTCTGTTTAACTCTAACGTGCAGTGTGATGCAACAGATACCAACTAGACAATACAATGAGATTTTCCAGATGTACTTTGTGCGATCAGCAGCAGATATCCTTTACAAGCTGAACTGAAGCCAAAGAACAAAGTCCCTCACCTGCATCCTGCTCTCTGATCTCTGCCTCCAAGTCCTCAGGGTCCATGTAGGGGTAGTGTTCCTCGTCCTCTGGTGCTTTGCACTTCCCACAGCAGAAACAGCAGCAGCAGAAACAGCAGCAGCAGGTGAATATACTGCAGCACACCACGAGGGCCTGAACACAAAGGAAAGGGGATCAATGTCAGTGTATGTGCTATTTGTACACAAAAATTTACATCTGCTTCCACAAAAATAAAATATTAAAATGCATGAAGGAAGACATTTGCTCAATGTTCACTTGTTGCACCTGCAGAATTTTGAAACCACATTCCCTCTCACCTTGAACCAGCACTTGGACATAAGGAAATAGTATTTGACGCTCTCATCGCCGAACTGCTCGGCCACGTAGAGTCCCATGGATCCATACTCATCGTAGATATTCCGTTTGTTTTCGTCACTGAGAATAGAGTTGGCGTTGTTGATCTCCTTGAATTTCTCAGCAGCCTCTGGGTTGTCTGGGTTCTTATCAGGGTGATGCCTCAACGCCAGTTTCCTGGAAAAAAAGTGAATGATGGTCAGAAACCTGACCTTAATAACTTAAAAAATAGATCCTAAATTTGTTTTCTTCACAATTTCAATGTAACACAGGGTGAGTAATTGATATACAAATGCTCATTTGGGGGATGAAGTATTCCTTTAAAATGTTTCCACAATCTCCTGGGGTTGTACAAATGGCTGCCCTCCCTTTTATTAGCATAGGCAGAAGTAGCATAACATTACACTTGTATAAAAAAGAAAAAGGGTCTCTGTGCATTCAGACTGAATATAAAACAAATTTTAACTTCACGGACAGGACTACTGGACTGACTGGGGCAATAAATACAAACTGTGCAATGTACAGACACCTGCCCAGTTCACCAGTGGTTCTCCTCACACCACAACTCAGTTTCTCTCCGATGGCCCTTGTTTCGCCTAATTCTTGGCTGTTCCTGGTCTCTTGGACGTCTAGCTGGCTCGTAATTATAAGGTTGTGGTCCGACATAGTCATATGAATATACATTTTCAATCTCTTCTGTGTCAAAACTAGCACTTATATTCATAACTGCCATTGTTTAAATGACAAATATGCCACTCTCTCTGATGTTACGTCATGCCCAGTTTGTCTTTTTTAATGCACAAGTAAAAATTTCTTACAAGATCGACTCCAGATGTGACTGAAGTGAGTATCTATGTACATTTCTTTTGAAAATCTAGTGTACACATCATTTGTCTACTAGGGCTGCCACGATTAGTCGACTAATCGATGACTAATCGACTATCAAAATAATCGGTGACTATTTTAGTAGTCCACTAATCGGTTTTCGTCATTTTTCATAGAAAAGTACCATAAAAGTACCATAAAAGTACCCTAAAATACTCCTACTGCAGCTTCTTATGTTCAAATATTGGCAGCTTCACACACTCTCCCATGATGGTGAACTAAAACCCTTTGGCGTGAGTATGAAACAAGACATTAGATAACATAATTTTGGGGTTTGAGACAGACCGACATTTTTCAAAATTTTAACACATTTTTCGATAAAATGATTAGTCGACTAATCTAAGAAATAATCGACAGGTTAGTCGACAATGAAAATAATCGTTAGCTGCAGCCCTATTGTCTACACACTGATTTACTGGGGTGTTTAACCTGCATGCAGGATGCTCTTTAAACAGAATTATTTTAGGGCATAAACGGAGGTCAACCAATCACAGTGTCACCTCTCATTCCCTTTAAAATAATAATAATATGTCAACAATATGATATGGCACACACCTACCTCAAGGTTGAATGAATAAATGAAGAAAAAATATTTGGCCTTTTTGTTCACTCCTGATTTGATCTTATAACTTAATACCTTGCAGTAATTTCCTTCATGAACGTTTGACTTGACTTCTCTCTAATCATTCATTAGAGGGCATTTTTTAGCCCAGGACTGAATACCTCTGCTTTTCAAAATCAAATCTTAACACAGAGTAGATGCAAATGTGTAAATATGATGAATAAGTGTGGATGAGGGGTTCACTATGGAAAATGTTGTCCCCTGCCCATATTTCCCAATGGCTGGCCTGTCCCTGTGTGTAAACAGCAGAGCGTACACGCATTAAGAACCTGCCTACCTCGGTGCATCTTGCTATTTCAACAAGGCACACTTAAAACAGCAGGAAAATACTCTGCTATTGACTTTAGACCAGGTTTTTGTTGGTCAATGGTGCAATTCTGCTGTCTCAAAAAAACAACAATCTGTCAACCACGCACCCAACCACACCTTAGTTTGAGACATACACAACCATGGGCACATTAAAATGACAAGTGTCTGGAGTAGAGATGACAGCGGGTGATAGGGCCCCAAGACTGCAGCCTTATGTAACCTGTATGTCATCTGTGCCTACTTGTGTCATCTTAAACATGTTAGTTGAGTTTTGCAAAGTCAGTTTATGAGAAACTGACATTTTATAGGCTAAATTCAAGTGAGGTAAAGGGGGAAAACACACTTTATGACTTAATTCACTCCTGATTCAAAGTATGTGCTCTCTCTCTCACATGAACAGACTCATTAATGTGTATGGACACACCTGTACGCCCTCTTTATTTCGTCTGGAGATGCTCCTTTCTCCAGCCCCAGGATCTTATATAGGCTGTCTCCTGCTGTTGACATCTTGCGCTGAGGTCTGTTTGGGTCCTCCATGTTTCAGGATATGGCGGCTGTGACATGAAACAAACACAAATACCTCCAGTGTGAGGACAAACACACAAGTGAAGTAACTTTAATGACTCATGAGCTCGGTGAGGAAGTAAATAAACCACATTAGTGTGAAGCAGAGCATGCTGGGAGTCCGGACAACACATGGTACCAATTATATAACTATACTTTAAATTAGTTACATAAGGAACTTTGTCTTAACTCAAATATTTAGCTAGGTTTACTTCATGTTAATCCCACAGGTTAAACCCTGCGGGGTCACAACGCAACTGCTAAGTTAACAGACTTAGCTAACTTTAGCTCGAGGAGGAAAGTTGTATGGTAACTTCTACGTACCGGACGAATAAATATGGTTGTTGGTCGAATCATAGAGTCCGAAATGTGTCCGTCGGTTGTGTTAAAGTTTGGTCCATGAAATGAAGCGGGTCCTCGGTTTCCTCTGTGGAAACTTCTCTCCTCATGACCCGGAGAAAAATTTCAGCGGCGAAGCAGGAAGTCCGTGACAGGAACGGACGCTGTGACGTCATTTGTCAGTTTGCGGTGCGCGCGGATGCGTTTCAAATACGCAGGATGTAAATAAATAACATTTGTTTGTATGTATCATCAAATAACATTAAATATATATTAAAAATTTAATAAATATTAAAAAAAATATTAAATTACAATATTCAGTGTTTTCCTATTTTTCTGTGCATTACTGAATTTTATATAAATATATATATATATATAGGTAATTAAATATTATCCACCAAAACATCCACGGTTATTTCACAGTTTTTAGTGTTCCAATTTTTTAATATGTACACATAATCTGTCACTGTCAATAAAAATCTTACACAGTGTCTTACACAGTGTACAGTATATAGATATAAATACATGCACATACTGTGATCATCCATTCTATCTATATAGTCTATATCAGTGGTTTTCAAACTTCTTGGGCCCAAGACACACCAAACTTACAACATAAATGCTTGTTTATATTCACTGTTAAATAACAATTGACAGCCAACCATAACTCATGAAATATTTATTAACAAAATGATTCAAGAATGCATTTAAAACGTTTAAAAACTACATCAAAGCACCAATAACACATCCATTTAAACAGGAAATAATGTAAGATAATGTGATGTGTCTCATACTTATAATTTCCTGATGCGAATGGTGACAAAAAGCTTCCCTGTAAGGATTTTTTTTTAAATCAAATTACAATAAATCTTTAATGTAGAATTTGCCTCTTTATAAGGAAATGGATGCACACAACATACTGATACAGTTAAAAATTCATTCATAACTTGCCAGTTAACAGGCCCAGTTGAATATCACTTTATCCTCCTTTATACATCTACGCCAGTTTTTATTTGACATCAGTTACTTTGCAGACAGATTAATTCATAATATGAATCAACAACTAAATTATAATGTTTTATAATAAAGATACACAGTAGAATATAAAATTAGCTCAATTTTTTAGCCCAATTCAATGATTCAAGCTCCAAAATCTAGAAGGTTCCTCTTTTGAGGAGCATTAAAATAACCACCACAATTTTATTCTTATATTCAATTTTTTTTAAACAAGGTATTTTTATTAGCAATTCAATAAAGACATACAGAGTTCTAATAAAAAAACACAGAACCGATAAGAACAGAAAAAAAATCAGAATGAGAAATTAACTTGTGTGACATAAGTAGAGGAGTACAGCATGTTTCATTACAAATTTTCAGCTTTCATATTTGCATATTCATATTCAATTTAAATTGGAAAATGTTTGACAGAAGAATGCTGATTTTACCAAAGCATTCTTTTAATGGTTTTCTGTAATATTTTGTGAAGTACGTGATAGTATTTTGTATGATATCTGTGCAGAGGAGTCATTGTGTGTGCCTTTAATCTTCAGTATGAACACAAAGTGTAGGTAAATATGTAAAGTTTATTTTTTTAGCACCTTTCACAGATACAGAATCACAGTACTGATAATAAACATTTAGTAGTGCTTATTCATGTTGTTACAGATAAAAAAATCATCATCGGACTATTAGTGGATGAATATTTAAAATCAACTTTTGTATTAGATAAATAGTTTTCAGATAACACTGTGTTGGTAGATTGTCTGACATAAATCAGAGTAATTATATTTCTGTCAGTGTCACTGCAGCTGTTCATCACTGATCCTGTGGAACCACATTAATGACGATCTTCCCCGTGTTCTTATTGGCCTCCATGTGCCTGTGAGCGTCTGCGATGTCCTCCAGGTTGAAGGTGCTGTCGATGACAGGCCTCAGTGACGCTGGCTGGTCTGAGAAACACGGTAACACCCTGTGTGAAAACGCCTTCACAAGCTCTGCTTTGTACTGTGAAGGGAAAATGCAAAGTGAGAGTCGGGCTCAGTAACAGACATGTAAATACATGAGATTTGTCATCGATGTCGACATGAGTCAGCATGTTCACAGTATGTCACCTCTGACTGGATTCTCACCTGGAGGCTGCGAGAGCGGAGGAGGCTGCAGAGCAAGTGGCCCCGCTTGGCGAGCAGTTTGCCCAGCAGATCTCCATTCACCGACCTGCCCCCCATGGTGCCATACAGCACCCACCTGCCGTCAGTGGCCAAAGACCTCACATTCTGCTCCCAGTTAGACCCACCGACGCAGTCGAGGATGATGTTTGCTCCTTTGCCTGTGAAATTACAGTTAGGCCTGTTAGTGACGCAACTGAATTGTGCAAGACCAAGATATTCAATCTGCAGTTCCTCATTTGACCCTAACCTGTCATCCTTTCTTTGGTCTTTTCTATTTTAATTCTCATCAGTGACACAGCCCTGTTACACGAACTATTTAAAACATAATCCAGATTTCTATACACATGTAAGTCTGGTGATATTTATGTCTTCTTACAATCATTAAGTGATCCTGAACAAGTTTTGTCTGCACAGCCAAAGTCTGATATATCTAATTCCTCTGCACCACAGAGCTCCAGTGTTTTATGGTGATTTTGACTCGATCCCAAACACACCGTCCTGCTGCCTGTAACACTCACTAGAGCACCTGATGTGTATTATTCAGCAGCTGAAAATAGTCCCTAACAAATGCACAATTTCCCCGTTTGCATAACATTCACTAAAACCTACAGTGCCCAGCTGTTTTAAGAAGCTACTTTTAGATTTTCACCCAGACAACTGCCGCTCACTGGATAGTTTCTCTTTTGGACCATCCTCTGTAAACCCCAGAGATGGCTGTGTGTGAAAATCATCATCTACACATCTACACCATTCACCTCCTGTGAAGTCATGAACTCCCTGTGCGAAGCTCTCCTCTTTGTAGTTGAACCCAGCTGCTGCTCCCAGATTCTCCGCTATCTTCAGTTTTTCTGCGCTCCCAGCAGTAACGACTGGCACGGCACCAAACAGACGGACCAGCTGAACAGCAGCTGTGCCGACTCCGCTGGCTCCAGCGTGAGCCAGAACTACTTCATCCTCCTTCACCTGAGCTGTGGCAGAGAAGACAGATGGCAGCACAACACAAGTACAGAATTTAGTATTTCCAATCTGTTAATTATAGGAAGAGGTGGAAAGGTTGTATAAAAGTAAGCAGCATCTAAAAGAAATTAGTGCTTAATTATCCTCACATTTATTCATGTGGATAAACTTTTAATTTAATTTTTTTTTTTTTTTACATCAGTTTTAATTTCTTTAGAGCACCACAAGTAGTCTAATTTTTAGGAAATGCCAACTTAAAATTTCAATTATTTCAATGATTATGATATAGTTTTAAACCCCTTCAATATATGTAAGAGGTTTGATATGAAAACAAAAGTAAAAATGCCTTCACACATAAAATAAAGACAAAGGGGGGACATTTAGGCTGCAAGGAATACACACAGATGGCACAACAGACATGGTTGTCGTACCCACAAAAGCGAGCAGCTGAAAAGCAGTGAGCCAGGTCTCTGGGATCGCAGCCGCCTCGCAGAGAGTCAGATTAGAGGGGACGGGCATGAGAAGCTGCTCTGGCACAGAAACATATTCTGCATATCCTCCTCCGGGGAGCAAAGCCATGACCCGCTCATCTAGCCTCCAGTCTCCTTTCACCCCGGGGCCCAGAGTATCCACAGTACCAGCCACCTCCAGGCCTATGATGTCACTCTCACCTGGGGGAGGTGGGTACAGTCCTCGCCTCTGTGGGACACAGAAGAACATTACTGCACTGTGAGCTGTGATTGCTCCAGAATGTGACACATGAACTTAAAAATATTTAGCAGGACAACAGGAGATTGTGGTGCACATACACTCAGTGAGAACTGTGTTATACCTGCAGTAGGTCAGCCCTGTTGAGGGCAGTTGCGTGAACTTTGATAAGGACTTCTCCATCTTTCAGCTGAGGTTTGGGGACACTTCGCAGCAGTAAATTCTCCGGTCCTCCTGGTACGTCAACACACACTGCACGCATCATCTTTGAAAAGCTCGAGCAACACTTGTGCCAGGCCTGTGAAAGGATAAAAATATGTTTAAATTAAAAATGTAGTGTTGAAACAAATCCCTGTCTTGAAACTTAATTAAACTTATTTCCACTTTATATGACCAATTTTACTTTTTCTGTTTCAAACACTCACTGTGTGGCAGGGGTTTCCCAGTAAAAATCTTCCAGTGTGCAGGATGTGATGCATTTGATAGTCTCAGCTGCAGCAACTATGATGATAAAAGAAAAGAAAATGAAAATTGGAAGGTTATTAACAGAAGCCACATCTGAACAGATCCAGAGCACCAGTTCTTACAGACACTAATTTCTGTCTTACAATATAGCGTAATTACATATGTGATCCCTGAGTAATGGTGGGTTGGGTCAAGGGGTCAGAGAACCAAACTTTCAAATCCAAGCAGACCTATGCCATCAAATTTTGAGCACAAAAAAAGGTCGTTTTTAAAACAACAATATGATTTTTGTTGGAACTTCCTTATATAGGCTGTGAAAAATTTTAAGCAGGGTACATTATTTAAAAAAACACTTTAGGAACCACTGCTCTAAAGAGTGAAAATGAAAAACACATGTAGATGAATTTTGGCCCACTTGGCTTCCCATACTGCTGCAGAGTGAACTGTTGCCACACAGACATCTAACTGTGGTGAACACAAGTGTGAATAAGAGCAAAACTATTTAGGAGAAGAAGAAAAGAGGAAGAGGAGGAGAGAAGAGGAAGCAGTTGTAAAAGTACAGTAGTCCAGTAGTGATTTGACGGATGGTCAGTGAACTTCCATGATTACGTCACATAGTAATGACCCGTTGCGCAATGTCAAAACATCCAGACGTTCAGACTAAAAGTATCTGTGACTCAAGCGTCTATAGAACAGATGTTAATATGAATTTAAGGCAGGGTTATAGAAGAACATGCACCAGTTTATATAAATCACAGCACAGTTGATAATTAGACAGAGTGTTTAACCATCTATGTTACATTTAAATCATGTTAAAGCATTAATAAATGAACGTACCTGTCAGAGATGTCAGCAGTTGATCAGCTTTGAAAAAACTGGGAGAGTTTTGGGGAAGTTTAGTTGTGCCATCATGCAGACTGGGCCCCAGTTTGGCGCGGGAGGCGTCAAACCAGCAGAGGGAGGTCTCTCTGACACATGACGGGCAAGTTAAAGAGATACTGCACCAGAAAACATGATTCTCATACTGCTCAGGGTCATAATGTCCTGATATGTGACTGTTTTCTGGCAAAACAAGTCAAATACAAGGGAAATGTAGGAATGAATCCTCCATCAGATCCTGGTAGTGTGAACAGGGCTGCAAATAATGATTATTAAAATTATTTAGTTCCATTAAATGTCTATGTCAGCATACAATATTAAATAATAATTGTAATAATAAAAATAAATATAATTTATATTGCACATTTCAAAACACGTGTCACAAAGTGCTTTACAAGGCAAATTAAAGCAAGATAAATGACGCAAATATAAAAACCTGTAGTAAAGTGGTAAAATAAGGCAATAGAAACAAATATGTATGTAAACACATGCATACATGCATTTAAATATATACTTTACAAACATGCTTCACCACACATATACAGGTACACATAGATATACAGTGTTGAGACATTATAAAAAATTTTAAAAAATCCATCCAAATATTTTTTTTTAAAAAATGTTAAGATTTTTATTCACTTTTTTTTTTATTTCTATTTAATTTCTTTGACTTTTTATATCTTTTTCTGTCTTTACTCTTGTACTGTAAATCTGTATCCTTTATTATGTTTAATATTTTATTGCTCTGTAAAGCACTACGAATTGCCCTGTTGTATGAAATGTGCATTCCCCCACGTGTCGTCACCTCCACAATGTGCTTCACTGCTGACCATGTGAGAAGACAGCTGATGAGACTCCACTCAAATAAGGCTGCAGGCCCTGATGGTGTCAGCCCCAGGGTGCTCAAAGCCTGTGCCCCCCAGCTATGTGGAGTACTTCAGCATGTCTTCAACATGAGCCTGAGTCTCCAGAGGGTCCCCTTGCTGTGGAAGACATCCTGCCTTGTTCCTGTGCCAAAGACGTC